CCTCTCCATTGTCCCCCCAAATTTCCTCTTCTATGCTCTTCCTGAAGTCTAGTAGATTGAAGAACATGCCTTGTACATGTGTGTGTGCATGCATGCCCCAAATCCTGAGAGGAGACTGGAGGAGAAGGGACTGCTGCATAGCCATCCCCCAGTGGGGGGGAGGGGGTGACTTCTTACTTTCCCTCTCACTGTCTCTCTCTTCAGTAAAAGCATGCATCCTATGGCAAAAGCCTTAAAAAAAAAAAAAAAAAAAGCTCTTACACAAAGAAAAAAGTGAAAAGCAATCTGTTGGTGATAATGCATATGGTAATATGTTTGACTTGACTGATACACACTGTATTCATGCTGGGAAAAATAATTTTATATGTTGTAAAGATGTAAGGTGATTAAATGCAATTTAAAAATTATTTTTAAAAATTCTACATGGGCCAGCAGGTGGTATGCTAGTTAAGGCAGCTAGATCCCACATGACTGATTACGTAGTTCAAGTGTGAGCCCCAGTGGCTTGAAAACTATGCCAGACTCATATATGTACATGCCCTACATCATGAGAGCAAAATGGGGAAAAAGGATTGTGTCATGGCCATCTCCTCTCAGGGATGCTTCCTCACCACCACCACCCTCCACCCCTCTCTGGTGAAGACAAGCACCCTATAGCAAAAATTAATGAAATAGAAGTTTCTGCATAGCAAAGAAAACAACAGAATGAAAAGGCAACCTGAGGAATGGGAGAATACATGCACCAATCATTTATCATATAAGGGGTTAATAGCAAAAAACAAACAATCTGATTTGAAAATCAGTAAGGACTTACACAGACATTTCTCCAAAGATGACATACAAATGGTCATCAGGTGCTTAATATCACTAATCATTAGAGAAGTACAGTTGAAACCACAAGGAGATATTTCACACCCATTGGGATGGCTATTTAAAAAAACAAGGGTTAACAAGAAGGTCGAGAAACTGGAGCCCTTGTATACTGTTGGTGGGAATGTAAAATGGTGCAGCCACTCTAGAAATAGTGTGGAGAATCTTCAAAAAGTAGAACTAGTACCACATGATACAGCAATATCACTTCTGGGGATATATGCAAAATAATTGAAATTAGTATGCACATCTCAAAGAGCTACCTGCACTCTTACATTCACTGCAACATTATTCACAATAGCTAAGACATGTAACAAGCTAAGTGTCCATCAACAGATTAATGAATAACAGAATATGGTATATATATATACCATGAAATATTATTCAGCCTTAAAAGGGAAGGAAATCCTGCTATATGGAATAATACAGATAAACCTAAGAACATCAATTAAGGGGCCAGCAGAAGGCATAGCAGATATATTGCTGGATTCCCACGTGGCTGACCATGGTTTGACCTGGACCCATGGCTAGAAACTCGTGCCGGATGTGTATGTGCATGTCTACCCAAGATCCCAGGAGAAGAATGGAGGAGGAGGTTTGTGGTGTGGCCATCCCCTTGGGGGATGATATCTCACTTTCCCTCTCACTGTCTCCATCTCTCCCTCTGGGAAGTATATGTGCCCTAAGGCAAAAACGTCTGGAAAAAAAAAGAACAATTAAGTGAGATAATCCAGTCACAGAAGGACAAATAATTCCACTTCTATAAAGTACCTAAAGGAGTTAAATTTATAGAAGGGAAGAGCAGAATGGTGTTGACAGGGCTAGGAATAGAGGATAGTGAGGAGTTATACAATGGGTATAAAATTTGTTATGCAAGATGAATTAATTTTAGAGATCTGCTGTTCAGTATAGTGACTACCATACTATACTGTGTCCTTAAAAATTGTCATGAGGGCAGAACTCATGTTAAGTGTTGTTATAAGACATAAAACACAAACAAAAACAAAGAGGAAAAGGAAACTTTTAGAGGTGATGAATATGTCTATTATCTTCATTGTAATAATGGTTTTATGGGTATATTCACACGTCCAAATTCATCAAATTACATACATTAAATATGTGTGGGTCACTTGTTTGCTTTTAATCAATTGTACCTCAATAAAACTATTGGAAGACAGAGTGGTGTGCTGGTAAATGTTGCACAACTGTCTCAGAGTAAGGGAGTCAATTTGTACCGATTGTCAGTTTGCATGTTATAAACATTCTCCATGACCATGGTCTTAGAATATTGCTAAACTTGGAGTTGGAAGACATGCACAGTCTCCCTGTACAAGCTAGTTCCAGCACACTCCAAGATGAAGACCTTCGGGGTCAACTGGAGAAATTTGAAAATATGTCGAAAGATATTATCAAATTTTTCCAACTTAGAGGTGATAATGGTAAATGAAACTGTGTGGGAGGGTGCCTCCTCGGGAAACATGCTATTGAATTAGCCTAGTGCCATCTGATGTTTGCAGATTACTTCAGCTGTTTGGCAAAAGGGACATGTGTTGAGTGTGTGTGTGTGGGGGGGGGGATAGAGAGAGAGGGAGAGAGGATGTGTCCACAGGTTAATATTGGGTCATCAGAAAAGTCAGGATGCATTTTTGCGTAGAAAAAACATAAAATTATGTCAAGACTTTTCTGACAACCCAGTAGTTGGTACCCTCTACTATTATAATATGGAGATTAGGCTGGATGGTGGCTCAGTTGTAAAACGTGCTCTGTGAGGCTGGCCTTATGGGAAGGTTCCAGGTTCATGTGTGACAGGCATGTGCACGCCCATGATTCGGGGCTGGCTGGCTTGAAGACCCTGTTGGGGATAATGTCTCTCTGTGTCTCCTGTCTCTCTTGCTCATGGAAGAAATAAACTTGAAAACCAAAGAATGTTGGGAAAAGTAATATCCTGGTTCATTATTGAAAACTATTCTTTCAGTTCTTCTTTGGGCTTGATAATTTAAAAAGCAAAATATTAAGGTATTTGCCAACAGAAGCTCTCATATAAACATCTAGATTCACAGCCTGTGTTGAGAAGAGAGCGAGGTCCTGCCATGCCATCCTGGGCACCTGCACTCACATGTAGCAGCCGAATTGCTCAGACAGGGTGGGCTTTCCAGCCAGATCTTCACTTTCTTTATGTTACCTTCCTAACTCCTGCAGGATTGTTCATTTGTGACTCTTGGTTTAAAAACTGCTCAATCATGTTGAAAAACGTCGCTAAATGCAGAAGTCCCTAAGATGCTGTTCTGTCAGCTTCCAAGAACCCAGTGGGGGAGGAAATTACTAAGTGTGCCCGCTTAGTATCCTACCACTGCAGTTATCGCTGTCCTGCGCCCTAAGTCAATACCTAAACACGAATTTTCGCTTTCTCCAACATTTTACCAGTTTCCTCTGCGGGCAGAAGCCAAAGGATGCAACTGCTTACATTCCGTGTAAGCCCTGAATTTTAAAGTCACACATCTGGGTGTAGAGGATCCCAGACATGAAAGAACTCCGTGCAGTAGCAGCCACCTAAATCGGGTTCAAGAGGGTACCGTGAGTCCAGGTGTAGAAGTCTGTGAACAAACACAGCCAGCCTGGTTTGCGCAGGTTGTGACTGGAGGTCACCGAGCGCCCTCTGGAGGCTACGCTGATAACAGCGCCGAGCACCCGCGTCCACCCCTTTCAGGGCTCTGCGGGAGCGGTGACAGTCACGGGTGGGTCAGCGACGAGGAGGGACAGGGCAGAGAAGGCGTGGGGCAGCGACGGGGCGGGGCGGGGCGGGGCGGAGCCGGAGTGCTTTTTGATCGGGAGCGGAGCTCCACTGCGCCCAGACCTCCGGCCATCCCGGAAGTACCTGGCTCCAGCTCTACAACTCATTATTTGTGAGTAAGCTTTGGGTTGTCACCAGAAAGCACGGTGGCTTTTGTTTTACATGCAGAGGCCGATCAAAATCAGCACTGTTGATTTTTCTCTTAGAGCAAAGAATATGGGTTTCCAGGTTTCTTTCCTTTCTTCCCCTTCCTCCTTCTTCTTTTTCTACTTTCTTTTTTTGACGAAAACTTCCTTTGACTCTGGCTGTGAGGAATATAATTAAGTGAAAATATCTGGTCTGTGCCAATAAGGTAAGTGTCCTGTATGTACCTCTTTTTAATAGGGAAATGTTTACAAAAATTGCTTTTGCACAGAATGCGTGTTCTCGGTGGGGAGTGCATTTCTTAAGAACAGAGAGGATCTTCTTTTTCTGGGGCCTCTTGATTTGCGCGCAGGAAGTTGTAGAGAGAGCAGGGAAGGAAGGTGGCTGTGGGAGTAGAGTCCCAGGCTCACCTCTGACTTTACCTTATGAAGGAGACAGAGAGCCGGAGTCAGGCACGGGAATGCAGAGCGCTCCACAGGTGCTGGTGAGAGCTCGGGGTGAGTGGAAACACAGGGGGGATCCGGTTCCCAGTTCAGTGCCCTGATAGTGCCTGTTTTTCAAATGACTATAGGCCTTGTCTCAAAGTAACTCCCCATTTACTGGCCAGTCAGGAGGGTGGGCTGTTCTCCTGCCAAGGTGCAGTTCTGTAGACCTGGCTCCTTTCTGTCAAGACGCTAATTACAAGCAACCTTTGAGCCTTATGTTAGCAGCGCACTTTACAGTGAGGAGGACCTGGCACAGCCTTCTGCTCTCCCACCCAAGTCCAAACCGGTCTGTCCTACCTTTGAATTCTTTCTTCTTTTTAGCACCAATTACTTGGCTTTCAGACATAATAGCAGTCTTTTCAAGCCACAAGAGAACAAAGAGACAACCTTTTTTTTTTTGGAGAGATTTTTTGCTATAGGGCATGTGTGCTTTGCCGGAAAGACAAAGACAGAGAGACAGAAAGCGAGAAATCACCCCCCAAGGGGGATGGTCACGCTGCAATCCCTTCTCCTGCATTCTCCTCTCGGGATCTTGGGCACGCATGCACATGCGCCCGGCGTGAGTTTAAGCCACTGGGTCCGGGCCTCAAACCCCGGTTGACTACATGGGAGCCCAGCGACATAGCCATTATGCTAACTGCTGGTCCCAAGAGACAACCATCCTAACCCTCTGTTTTACAAATTTAGAAATGAAACCAAAAAACTTAAGACTTTTGTCCAAGGTTGCATAGCTGGTTAGAGGCAGAAGCAGAACTAGAACTCTGGTCTCTCGGTTTCCAGCTCACTCTCTACTCCCTGTCCTGACTTGAATGTGTTTTAGATTTTTTTCTTCTCTTTTCTTTTCTCTTCTTTTCTCTTCTTTTTTGCTATAGGACACATGTGTTTGCTGGAGAGAGACAGGGAGAGGCAAGTGATAAATCACCTAGAAAGGATCGTCACACCATGATCCCTTCTCCATCTCCTCTTGGGACTTGGGCACACATGCACATGTACCTGGTGTGTTTGTCAAGCTACCAAGTTGAGGACTCCAACTGTGCAGCCAGCCATGTAGGATGAACTGCCTTAGCCACCATACTACCAGTTGGCCCTTAAATGTGTTTTATAACAGCATCCCAACTCGGAATTCATGGTCTTTCAAATATGGACTAATTTTAAAAAGTGCAAATTCCTAATTTGTTTCCATTGCACACCCAGTCTCTAAGTCAGCCTGTAAACAAAGATGTTTGGCGCAGGACCAGTCTTATCCACCGCCCCTCCATGTCCCTCACTGGTCTCCAGGCAGGACCGGTCAGGCCCAAGGCAGGCTGCTGCCGTGGGACACAGCATGGCACCACAGCCTCCCGTCTGGAGAGGTTTTTTTTTGTTTGTTTTTTTGTTTGTTTGTTTGTTTGTTTTTTGCTATAGGGCGCGTGCGCTCGCCAGACAGACAGAGAGAGACATAGAGACAGAAAGCGAGAAATCACCCCCCAGGGGGGATGGCCACACCGCAATCCCTTCTCCTCCATTCTCCTCTCGGGATCTTGGGCACGCATGCACATGCTCCCGGCGTGAGTTGTAAGCTACCGAACCGCGGTCGACTATGTGGGAGTCCAGCGACATAGCCATTACGCTAACTGCTGGTTCCCCCTCCCGCCACTCTGCAGCTTCTTCTCGAGGAGTCACTGTGTCTGCTCTTGTTTCTAAGACTTCATTATTACCATTTAGTCACTGGGTCTTCATCATCTTCAGGGCCCACACATCAGTACTTGCACTTAGAGGTGCCCAGGCACATCTGTTGAACGAGTGAGTGAAGTCTATTAATTCAGCATATTTTTCACTGAACAGCCATTTCTTTGGGGTCATTGCAAATACAGAACTACCTGCTCCAGACTTCCACTTACAGCCTGGGTAGTCAAGGGTGCCCACCGTGGAGGCCACTTCTGGTGAGAAGCCGTCGAGACCTCCCACTCCACCACCCCCGGGGACCACAGGTATGTTTGCCCACCCATCTCCAAACTTGATCACTTGATCCATGTGAGCTGGCTTTCCTAAGGAGAGACGGAGGGAAGGAGTCAAGCAGGAAACCAGAGAATAAAAAACTGAGGAAACATTTGGTGCTAGACCCTTTGATGTGAGTATAACTCACACAGTCCTTCAGCATAGCTGTTCTTATTTTACAGATAACATATCTGCAGGTGTTACAATAGATTGTTTGGGTCATGTGTCTAGTTAGAGGCAAAGACAAAGTTCAGACCCAACTCTGCTCCATCAAAGTCCACTCTCTTTGCAGCCCACCTGGCTCTCTCTACTAAACAGACTCCCAAATAAGCTGAGGGTCTAAGAGGAAATGGTATAAAGTTTGCAAAAGAGAACGAGGCCAGCTATGGAGATCACGACCTTAGGAAAGGCAGGAGAGCCAGTAAATGTGGAAGCAGGTGACACTGGGGAGTCCTGGTCCTCACCAAGTCCATGGATGTTCTCCAGAACCGGGTGAGTCCACAGGGTTCAAAGGCTATTTTTTCTTTTGCCAGTCAATAAAACTACTTTGCTCCTGTGCCTGGGACATTGGATAGGATTCAGAGCCAAGTGGCAAAGCATAAAGACAAACTCCCTCAAGCCCACCCCAGACTGAGCAAAGGTGAGGAAAGAGGCTTGGAGATGGGAGTCCCAGGACTCCTCAGGCTCTCAAACCAACACCATGCTCATCCTGGTGTCAGGGCCTGCCATACCCCTTTGTGCACGCCGTGCCCCTTCGTAGCTGTGTCACTGAGCCACG